TCTTCTCATCCACCACCAGTCTGCAGCATCCACCTGGATGACGCGACGGCAGCCATTTTTGCGCCAGACCACACACCAGCTTATTGGCGGAGGAGAAAGAGTGATGAAGCCAATTACGATATAAGGATGGCTAAGAGGCCATTATTGACAGAAGCCAGTCTACAAATTTGGCCAGGATATCGGGGTGACACCACTACTCTTTTCGAAGGATATCCTGGGATTTTCAATGACCATAGAGAGTCAGGCACTTGGTTTAACGCCTCATCTGAAAGACGGTGCTAACTGACAGTAAAGTTTCTCCTTCACTATATTGCGGCATTAGGACCCACACAGATCGCAGGTTGGATAGCCCCTGGTGACAACACTAACACCTTATAGCAGCAACCTAGCTTTGCCATTTGGTCTTCCATTCAGGTACTGACCAGACACAGCGCTGCTTAACTCCAATGGATGACTATGCACAAATGTAGGAAAGAAGATTGAGTGATATAAAAAAAAGACAGCAAAATAAAAAATAAAAAGAGTGCATATTAGGACTTATGGGCCCCAATGGCTAGAATTGCTTAGGGCCCCCCAAATAACTAAATCCACACTACACTTTACACATATAACTGGATCACAATCAGCTGCACACAATTTTCTAGAAAAAACAACAACATTAATTTGTAGAAGCCTTTGAAAAATAAGAAACAGACTGTGAGAGAATACTAACTTGGGCTCTTTGCGTAATTAGTTGGGAAGCGTTGAATTTGGCAACCACGCTCTTCAGAACTTCGTTTACAATGGACGGCAGCACGCGCTCATCATAGTCCTGCCCCAGCTGCTGGTACATGATGGGCAGGTTGGAAGCCAAAGGTCGTGACAACACGCGCAACGCAATGTTCACCATCTGCAGGTCTGAAAACATTACATATACATGAAACTTACAACTCAAGACCTTGAACTACATACACAAAAACTACACAGGGTTCGTACACTAAGCCCAATGTCAAATTCCCTGAATTTCCATGACCTATAATAAACGAAAAGATAGTATTTTGAATCTATTGACTCAAAGCTAAGTTTTAATACAAAATTAAGTTTAACAGTTGGTTAATTAGGACAAATAATGCTTCAAATGGAAATAATGTCGTGTTGTCACATCACATCTGTTTATGATACAGTACTAAAGCCCCAAACAAAGCAGGACTGAAGGTTAGATTGATTTTAATTTAAGGGAGTGTTCAATGCTTTTAATTAGACTATAACATTGATTTAAAATACTATGATTAATCTTAACCCCTGAATGGTTGGCGTTTTTCAGTTATGTCAGTGACCAGTTATGCTACAAAAACAACATATTTTGTAATAACTAGCTAGCTAACATTCTAGCTACATTACACAAGCTAACACCTTTTGACCTGTATTACCAATGGGACTTTAAAAAGTTAAGACTTTGAGCTGTTAACTGCATTTGACTTATTGCTGTTTGACAAGCAGGGAGAGAAAAGGCAGTGAAAAATAGCCTAACCATAACAATGGGCATGAAACAATGTGCTAAAACAGAGTATAGAAAAGTTACATTATGATAAATGGGAAGTAAAATGACTAACTATAGAAATACTTGATGTTCCATGCCTTAAACAAAAAAGCACAATACAAGCTGCTGCAATAATAAAAATACAGTGTTCAAAAGACAGCAAAACACAGACAAAATGTTACCTTTGCTTCCTGTTAGAGATGATATTTTTCTTGGTCTGGCTCGGATATCATATATGATTGGATACTGAAACCATGGTATCCTATTAGAAGAATGCAAATCAGAAACAATTTAGTTACAACTTTACTATTTTATGGTGAAACTAAACATGGGATTTTGTACAGAAGGCTATCAGTTGAAAGGGTTACCTGAAGTGGAGACCCTCAGTGAGGACGGTATCTAACTGGACCCCTCCAATTCTGTTAAAGATAATTGCTCGTTGGCCACCCTCCACTACACATAAGAACAGGTTTGTCAATGATTACACAAGTAAAACTCTTATTTCAAAAATTTTACACTAGTTCAAAAGTTTGGGGGTTCTAAGATGTGTAATATTTTCAAAATAATTTTTAGATTTATGATCAAAAATCAGTAAAACAGTGATACTGTGAGATTACCACTTAAAGTAAATGTTTTACTTTTTTCTATATTTAAAAATTTATTTATTTTTTACTGCAAATACTACTTTTCTGACACATGATTTATCAGAAATCACTCTATTTCTAGGAAACTGTTAAATTCCTCAAATGTTTTAAAGAACAGCATTTATTTAAAGCAAATCTTTTGTAACACCTTACATGGATTTACTGTCAATTTAGGTCATTTATTTAAGCTCATGAAGTTATTTAAGCCTGTGTAATTTGACAATGTAAATAGACTCCATTGCAGCTTCATTAAACAGTCAATACATCTAAACAGCCGTTTTACCCTAATTTTACTGCAGTGAAAAAGATTCATTTAATTGCATTAATTGAATTCATGACTCAAGGTTTGTGAATTTACTATTAGTGCATACTAATTTTTCCATACATATACTAAGGTTGTTATTTAATGATTTTTTTAAATAGACAAAAATACTTCAGAAATCAATTTTACAGGGCTATTTAAGAAACGATTCAGAACACTAATGAAAATAATGATTCTATAACAAAGTGATAATAATTCACTTTTTTTTTTTAACTTAGACAAGTGAAGTGATTTATTTTTCTGAAGGACATGCACACAAGCATACAGCTTAATGTCAAGCCTTGTTACTGATCCCAGACTGCTGAGTGGTAGTGTACACCTAGTCACTGAGCTCCAGTTCTAACTAATGTACTACTTTATACCATAGTAATGTACCTGTATAAGTGGCTTCTCTAACTCCATAAGCGAGTGCACCTGCTCCAATTAATAACTTTAGTCCGATTCCAGCGCCCCTCGAACCTGAGGATATGCGTCCCATCAAATCTCTCAGGTTCTGAAGGAACCTCTGCAAGACAACAAAATACACACATTTATTCCCGTGGAAAGGTCATATAACAATGAGTATGTTTTTGAAATATACTATTAAGTAGTCAACTAATAAACTGTAACAAATACTGTGGTATACTTATTTTTTACTATCGTAAACTATGGGGTTTTGTAGTATAACCTAGCCTGTAGTTGGAAAAAAACTAAAACATTGAGTAATTTATTTATATAGCTATACAAAGACACACAGCATTTACTATAAATTACTACTATTTTGTCATATTAACGTTACATACCACATCATCTTCACAGAATAACGTTGTCAAAGTGTTAAATGAGACGATGGCGCCATCCACTGATGCTTAATGTGTATACTTCTTCATGTCTAGCTTATATGTTTTAGTTTAATCTTCAAGTTGGATGTATTAAAATTTAATAATAAGCAATGTCTGAGAAATTACTTTATGAGCTGACATTCTGTCTGACACAGACAACAAAAGCGCATAATGTGCCGTGACCAATTCTTCATACAAACCTGCATGAATTAAAATCGATCGTAACTCTACACCTTCATTTAAGACCATGTAGTTTAACTGTAGTTATCTAATTTAAGAGTAAGGCACATAGCATGTAACGTGAACGTTATAAATGTGCTTAATGTATGACAGCAGGACAAGACTACTGGTCATGTACTGTACATGTGTAACTCTTGCTGTTTAGACTTCTGTAAACAGAATATGGCATATTGTAAAAAAGTTATTTGCATCAACGACCACCAATATGATTTTATAATTCTTAAGTAAATGTGTTAAAAATTATACACCGGTACTTACGCTAGGCTCTTTATTCGCCATGCTTGCAAGCGCCACTCAAGGTCGTCATGAACAACTTCCGCTTTGACCGGAAAGAATTCTGGGTAATGAAGTATATTTTAAGGAAGTGTTTTTAATCTTACACGGACTTCCAAACACGATTATTCTCGTTTGAGGACCCCTATTCTGAAATGTAAATGCATCTATATAGTGTCCTATATAAAGAACCTTTTTAGAACTACTGGGGAAACACATTCATTTTCTATTAGTTTAAAAAAAAATATTTCTTTTATTTTCTTTTCGGCTTAGTCCCTTTATCTATCTGGGGTTGCCACTGCGTAATGAACTTTTCCAGCATGTTTTTTTTACGCAGCTAATGCCCATCCAGCTGCAACCCCTCACTGGGAAACACCCATACACCCTCATTCACACACATATGGAACTTAGCTTATTCAATTCACCTATACCACGTTTTTGGACTTGTGAGGGAAAGCGGAGCACCCGGAGAAAACGCTTGTGAACACGAGGAGAACATACTCCACACAGAAATGCCAACTGACCTAGCCCGGGATTGACTCAGACACCTTCTTGCTGTAAGGCGTTTGTGCTTTTGCTGAACCACCATGCAGCCCAATTATATATCCTAATATATTCACTTGCTTATTTTACATTATTTTATTAAGTAAATTTGTATTATTACTTAAACTATTATTTGTATTAATCAAATAAATTTCAAAATATAACATTATTTTATTTTATGTTAACTTTTTAATATTTGTCATGGTGTTCATTTATTTGTTACTTCAATAATTGTTTTAAAAATATATTTTTTATTGTTTTTTTATTTTACTCCAAACCTTCCCAGAGACTCAAAAAAAAAAAAAAAAAAAAAAAAAAAAAAAACAAATTTGATGTAAACTAATGTCAACCATAAAGAGGGTGACGATAAATATAAGTGTATTACATTATATTTCATTAAACAATATACACTTTCAAAATATTCCTTGAGATTAACAATGGCATTGACATAAAAGCAAAATGAACAAAATGTGTTGAAAACTTTTGAACCGTTTCTAATCTGTTCATATTCCACGTATGTTTGTAATGTTATAGATGACATATACATACAATGTGTGGCAACAATTCTCTATAAGATCACTCATTCTGCCAAGAAACGCATTCAAGCAAAACTGTAAAAGAACATCAATATCAATATTTTAATTAATTACATCATTTATTTTTAAAACACAGCCTATCTTACAGTTTAACTAAAAAAAAGACCATGAATGACCACAGACTGGGAGAAAACCTTTTAAAAAGAGCTGAAAAGGAAGCAGTGTACATTGCAGGATTGAATTATAGAAGAAGAAAAAGAACATATACAAACAGGTATTTTACACAACCAGGTAGTCATGAGCATGAGAGCTCTTATGTACAAGTCTTTTTCTGCCATAAAACTGGTGTGACCGTTTGTGTCAAAACTGGGTTTTATTGAAATAATCCCTTTCATGCCGTTTTTACAGCATCTTAGAAGAAATACTCAATATGACGAGCATCTCCTCTCTTGTAGTGATGGGTCCATCCTCCGGAGTGACAGTAAAAAAAAAAAAAAAAAAAAAAGAAAAAAAAAGAGGAAGAAAGGTACCATGTCTCAGACATAGAAGAGTCGTACCCGGGATGTGCTGACATGAAGGTCGTCATCAAAAAACTTGGTCTCTATAACAACATTACCACTGCAAGAGAAAAGCCATGATTATTACAGATCAACTTTGATTAAATTATATTATATCAGTAGCATACACTGAATTAAAAAAAGAAAATTCTTACGTTAAGACATTTGCAGGCATCATCTGTGACTCTGGTGCGGCTTCTATCAAAGACTGCCATGTGTTTGTTGAATTAGGAATCACAAAGCCAAACTCAAAAAACCACTCTGAAACAGACACAAAAGTGTATGCATGTTACTTTCAACACATTGTTATACACTGTAGATTTAGGTGGACTGAAAAAAGTTTTCTCCCAAAATAATAATTTAGCGTTTCAACTCATAAGTAGTTTGAACAAGCAGCAAATAAATAAAAAAATGTATATTGTATTGTGTATATATAACACATTTTTAATTTTCTGGCAATATCTGAGACATTTCTGAGTTTATATCTAACATTTTGTTTTAAAATAAGAGTTCATATGATTTTGTAAATATGACTTCTCACAATTCATTGTACATTTACACCTCTATCTTCTAACCTTTTTATTTTACAATTCAGAGTTGTCATCTTGCAATTTTGACCTAATTTTTCTGAATTCATAAATTAGAGATTGCAGAAATGCAACTATTTCTCAGAATTGCAACTTTGTATTTCACAATTTTAGCCTAAAAATAAAAAAAATCTCAGAACATTCACATGTTATTTGTTTTATTATTGTTTTATTTAGTTTATTGTTTATCCCATACAGGTAACAGACTTCCATATTGACTTGATGATAGTTCACTAAAAAATGAAAACTGTCATAATTTACCTTGACTTGTTCTAAACAAGTTTAAGGTTTTGTTTTTTTGTTGAACCAAAAAGTTAGAGGGGAACACCAACCCTCAAACTAGTTTGGAAGTCAAGGGCAAGTATACGATGACAGAATTTTCTTTTTTTTTTTCAGATGAACCCTTTAATGTACTAATTCAATAAAACCCTGAAAATTACTGTACATTAATATGTAAATGCAGATTGCAGCATTGGGCGGACAAGCGTGCTTCGGCCAGGTTCAAGGCAACTGTACATAGTGTAAGTATGCCCTTAGATGTTAGTATCACAGACATCAGTATTACTAGTTTTTTAACATATCTATAATCTAGTGTGCTCCAAAATGGTTATAAAATTCACGTTTAAAAGATATAAAATTGATACAAACATGTAAAGCTTGTAGTTCGTCACTTCCTCCTAAGTGGATCAACGTTTTTTTCCACGTCAGCTCACACTACAGTTTCTCCCTATATCTTGACCAATCAAATGCTCTCTAGTATCTGTCATGCCCCACCTCCATCAAGACGCCTCTCATTTGCTTTCATTTCATGCACTTGAGCTCAACCACTGGCAGGGAGGTGATTAAAAAAAACAGCCAATAGTGTTTATTTTAAGGGGAGGAGCTACACTATGTCCCACCCTCTCTTCATGTTTCGGTTAATATTAAGTCAAACATCCATATGCATATTTCAAAGCGTTTCACAGGACCTTCAAAGGAACCAAAGACATCTTGCAAGAATTTATCTGAACCATTACTGCTATTCATTATCAAAAAGTGCAAGAAAAGATTTTCTGAACAACCTTCTAGGCACTGGCCTTTAAAGTAAACTTTCTGCTCCAGTCTGAATTTTTCCAGTTTTTCTACTGAAGAGAAATTCAGCTCTCTGGAGACAGCTTTACATTTGAGGATCTTCTTAGGAACTCGAGCTGTAAAAAAACAAAACAAATTCAGGTCCGTTAGTATGCAGACATGGCACATTCTCTACTAAACTCAGAACTCACACAATGAGAAAAAGAAGTGAAAGCGATCCGCTCTTGACCTCACACTGACATCACTAAATAGAGCTGTGAAGTAGTGGACATAAGAGAAGAACTGGCGTAGCGTAGTCTAGTCAACAGATTAAATCTTTAATGCAAGGTAATGCTGAGAACCACAAACCTTCGTGTTCTACCCCAGGAAGAGAGAGGTCTTCGGTCCCCTGCCAGAGAACCTTCCCTGTCTCAGCATCTCGAAGATTCATCCAGTTTCTGAAGGCAAGTCAAGGCATGTTCAATATCTTCTGATTTCAACTTTCAACATCCAAAATGGAATCTGGTCAAATTCCCATGGTGTCAATGAGAGATAAATAATACAACATAATAATCCGAATCATGGGTTCACAGCTCAGGAAAATGAAAGTTTACTTTGTGTCCATTCAAAACTTTCTTTTACACAAGAACAGATGTTCAGTAGATTGTTCAACAGTTCAAAAAGAAAATTAACTAAAAAATGTCTATTACATAAGTCCACAAAACACTAATAAAGACCACTAGGCTCAATCCCAATTCTAACCCTTAGCCCTTAGCCATTAACCCTCGTTTTGCGCAGTCACTTGAAGGGGTAGGGGTGTTTCAATTCCCGTGAAGGCGTAGGGCTAAGGGAAAGGGCTAAATACCCATTCAAATGGAGAAAAATTTCCCAGAATACACCTTCACACTATGTTTCAAGGGCCAAGGGGATGGGGTAGGGGTACAAAAATAGAATTGGGATTGGGTCTAAAGAACACACTAATAACCAGATTCACCAACAGCTGATTCAACCAATTTTATCATTATTAAAAAAAATAATTTAAATACTATCTGCCAGGATTTACTTGGGATTTACTTATTTTTTCTTATTTTTTAAGGATTTACTTATTTTTCTGCATGTTTACTGAATATGGAATATAGTATGACTTTCACTTTCAGATGCAAAATAAAAGAGACAAAGTACTGAAGTAATTTACAAAGTTTTGTGGTTGTCAATTTACTGCTCTTAATGACATTATTTAACAAAAAACGCATGTCTTAACCCGCTTTGCTCTGCTTTAAGTGGCCCTACGTTAATTTTAACTATTTGTAGATTGAGTTGGTCATGGATCTTGTTTCATCGGGTTTTCTTTCATTTGTAAACAGTCACTAGTTGTACCTTTCACTAGGGCTGGGCGATAAAATCGGCATTGTCAATATCGATCAAAAAAGTTTGATATGAAGTTTTGGTAGGAAGCGATAAAGTTGTATTATAATGTGGCTCCTGAGCGTGCGCCTTGGTAGCAATGCCAATAAGCTTAGGGTGCAAGTTTGTCACTTTCCAATGGAGGCGCGCGACTCGCACGACATGCAAAAGGGAGTGTGACACGCACATGTTGTGCAAGTGCCGCGCACATACACATGACGCACATTTTCCAGGCGCACCTACAGTAGTTGAAAAACATTTTCCGAATGCTGCAAGCACACCACAATTCACGCAAGTAGAACTAACCAATCTGCTTCACACTTTGTATGGAACATACACATTTCAGTAATAACAGCAGACTAATTACCTCAGACAAACACAGCGCAGCCAAACTTTTAACTTTTTACTTTTCTCCATAAACTGCAGCAACGTTGTCCATTTATCATCCTCTGAGAAAATGGTTGAGGGTCACCTACTTGCAGAAAGACAGCAGAGGAGCGTGAGCACAAAGCGCATTGAAAATAGAAAAGGACACCACATGCTCGCACTTTTCACTACAGGTCAGAATAACAACATACGCTAAAATGAGTGCTATATAGCAGCAGTGAGGAGACGCACAAAAAGGATTTGAGGATGTTGCCAGAGTGGCTTTTTGGTTTCTTTTCTTGTGCATCCCAGCCATTAGCACCCAATCTGAAAGATAGTTTAGCAGTAGTAATGTAGTCATCCAACTTCAGGATTTGTAATGTTGCAATATGTATTTGAATAATGATGGCTGGTTCCTTTACTTGAAAGCTCAGATTTGATTATCATAATTTGTTTTGTTTACAGAATTTGAGGTTACTATATCATTATTATTTACACCTTAAAGTTTGCTTTGATTGTTCAGTATTTACGCTTTACCATTGAACACACTTTGTAACATTTTGATTATCAAGTTTAAGAGTCTCTTTAACACTTATGTTTATTTTATGAGAAAGAGATCAGATATATTGTTGAAATATTTTAGTTTTCGACTGTTAAAACCATTTGCCTTAGTAATGTTGGTGCACACTGATCCTTCTTTCGTCTTTGTGGTCTCAGGCAAACTTGACTTGTTTGTTAAGGGCACTTTTACAAGACATAGACGTGCTTAAAGGCTGTACTAAAAGTCCCCCACCCCCCACCCCCCTTTTCATTAAAGTTCAGCATAAAAAAAGAAATGCTGTCAAAATCCCTGTCCCACAATTTCACAATACAACTAAAATGCCAGGCTAGCAGTTGGAGATGTCACTTTAGAAAGAAAAACTGCACGCCTGCCTGCCTGTACACTTTGGTTGCACCCACTACCATTGATTTGTAGCTTTTTAAAAACAGCTTGTTATGCAAGATGTTAACTGGAAGATGTTGTATATATATATATATATATATATATATATATATATATATATATATATATATATATATATATATATATATATATTTTTTTTTTTTTTATAGAGTAAATAGTTTGACTATTCACTGCCACTTGTTATTCCTAGTGGTTTTCCCATAGGCAAGCAAATTGTAAATACTAACGCAAGCACAGAAAACAGCTTGCTTCCATAATGCAGATTAAGGTGGACATGACAATAAATTCAGCAGGTGAAAAACAGTAAGGGACAAATAAATTATATCTGACTTTGGGAAAAAAGAAAAAGAAAAAATAGAACGCAGTATGTACATATTACATTCATACTATGCACACTATGTACATTTATTTTATGTTATACATATTTGTATATTATATTTATTGGGGTGTTTGTGAAATATTTTTTATTCAAAGCAAACATACTCAAGAGAGTATGCAAATTTGGGTGCAGTCCTATAATCTGCCACTGTTGTTATGGTTGTCAACTAGGGCTGTGCAATTAATAAAAATCGAATCGCAATTTGAAATTTGCAAGAGGCTGCGATATGAAATGTATATTATATAATTTCCTCCACCCAGAGCAAATGCGTGACTGCCGTGTGTGACAGTCTTACTAGCTGATTGAGTGAGCAAACATGCGTTCTGCCCAATCAGAATTACGCAATCGAACTATGCGGAATGCTCACAATGAAACAAACAGATTAGATATTTTTTTCCAAATCGCACAGCCCTATTGTCAACTACTGAACAAGTATACACATTTGTATGACATCACTCTTTTTATAACATCGAGATTTTTATGGTTTACGTGGAGACTATATTGATGTCAATCTGCACTCTAAAGGGAAAACAAGCTTCTCTGGAGTTAAACAGTTCTGTTTTACCATTTTTTTTTTAACCCATTCAGCTAATCTCAGAGTCTGGCAGGAGCACTTTTAGCTTAGCTTTGCATAGGTCATTGAATCAGATTAGACCATTGGCATCTGGCTCAAATATTCCAAAAAGTTTTTGGCTCTATTGTAGATACATTGTATGGTAAGACATAAGGAAAATGAAAAGTTGGTATTTTCTAGGCTGATATGGCTAGGAACTATAATCTCATTCCAGAGAGTCCATGGGACAGCAGCAAAGTTATTTATTATTACATTGTTACACCAGAATGAAGGTGTACTTTCTAGTCATATCAGTCTAGAAAATAGCAACTTTCTGTTGGTTTTGGCACATGCTACAGAAGGGTAAATTTGATTAAATGATTTATAGTAAAATTAATTTCTGGAGATTGGCTGAATGGGTTCAAAAATGGTAAAAAATAAACTTTTTAAGTTTTCTTATTTCAAAAAAAAAAAAAGGGGGAGTGATCCTTCAAAACTCGTTTTCACAAGTTATTATTTCAGGCCCTCAAAATGCTGTAGTAGTTGAAAGTGGTGTTGTGTAAAAGCCTGCTAAATCTGGCTCTTTCTCTGAATATCTGGTTTAACAGATGAATCCACCTGTTTCACTGGATTGAAAAGAGCAACTTCATTTATTGTATCCTGTTACAAATATTTATGTGTTCCACAGAGAAAAGAGTGTTATGAATTTAAAGGCCTGCTCACATCAAGGATGATAACTATAACAATGAAGATAAGCTCACAGTACTACTATAATAGTTTTTTTTTTTTGGTTTAGCAGATAAGAATAAAACTAGTTAGTTAAAATATTAATAAAAAAGTGAGTATCCATTCAACTATAAAGACCTGAAGCATTCAAAGTGCAAGACTGTGGATCCCAACACAGAAATTGCTACCTTCATAGTTAACATTCTTGGTTTGAACTGACCTTTAGAAAGATGTAATGGGAGATTTATTCTTTTAAATTAAATGGCATCTAAAAGTACCTGACCAAATATTACTGACAACACTTGAAGTATAAAAACAGCCTGATTTGTCTGCTAAACAACGGTTTGTCAGAATGCCCTGTGCTCAGTGTCAGTGACATCTGACCTTTTCAACTCCGGAGCACCTTTAAGAATCTGTCAGGCTGGTAAAGCACTCACACAAGACTGCATGTGTCATTACAGGTGCACAGCACAGGTCTTGGTTACCAATCCCAATGAGATCTCACTCAGGGAGACACAAGATTGCAACATCATGTATCACTAATCCTAATCCATCCTTCAAGCATTAATAACAAATAAATGCTCTTTAACAAATGCAAATCCCCAAGTTGTTCTAGTTGAATTAAGCTGATCATCAAAATCCTCCATGCTAACAAAAATATACATACATACATACATACATATGGACAAGAATAATTTAATGACATAAAACAGACACATGACAAGCTGTATATATGGATGATTAGAGAATGCAACCACCCGCCCCCCAAAAAAGTAACTTACTTTACTTCACAATTTATTAGTTTCTTCACTATATTTCGAATAAGTTACCAATTTATAGCAGTTTTTTTCTAATAAATTCTAAGAAATAATCAACTGTTGTTCCACTTACTTTGATCAGCACAGCTCATGTACGCCATTTCAGTTTTACATACATTTATTTGTTGTGCTAAATGACAATGAAACACAACTGAAAAATTGATTTTCACAACATATTAATTTAATAGTATATATTTATACTAATCTTAAGACTTATATTAAGACTTATATGAAACTAATTTGATGCATTGAAATACTTTTAATTAATTTGGGGCAACAACATGATCCAGGATTCACATTCAGCCAATTTAATTTCCAAATAATAATAATAATAATAAAATAACAATGCACTTTAAAATATTAATGCACTTTAAAAATTATTTTAGCATACTTATGAAAAGTAAAAGATTTATAATCCAGTGTTGAGTTGCATCAAATAGTAATTATATGTTTAAAATTGTAATTAAATTTTTTTCCTAATTACTTTGTCTGAAAAGTAACTGATTTACCCATTACATAATTTAATTACTTGATTAAATACTGCTTAAAACTACTATGAATCTCAATGCATAGATACTACAAATTAAACTCTTTTGATTCTTTAAATGTAAGAAAAATGTTATCTTTTAGTATCATTTTTAAAAATAAAACACTTAAAATCTTAATTAATATTTTTAGCTTGTGCTTCATCCCACTTCATTTTTGACCATGTTGAAATTTATTTTTTGTTAATGATATTTTACAGTATGTATGATATTTTTGTTCGAAAATAAATAAATTAAATCAAAACATGCCTAATTATTGACAACATATTTCATTTCTTTATACAAGACATTTTATCTTTCAGTAATTGTCAGACAAATCAAACCTTCTTCAGTTCAATTACTCTGCTTTTCTGAATTTATATTTTCATAAATTTCTGAATCAAATGTTTCTTAAATGTATGCAAATTTATTCATAAATGGAAACTTTAGTCAAAAAGTTGATTAATTATGCAAAATATATTTTAATCACAAAAAATACTCCTCAGATTCTCTGAATTAATTTATACAGAAAACTGTTGAATTTATGTAGTATGTAAGGCAAGTGCATTAAAAGTAACTGTAATTCAAATGTAATGTATTTTTTATTTAATGACATGTCAGTAACCAAGACTATTTTCATGGCAGCAACATTTAAAAAATAAATAAACAATTAAAAACAACAAACAAATACATAAATTAAATTAGATTTTTGTAATTATTTTTTGTGATTTTTTGTCCTGGTGTCACTTTGCTAAAAATGTCACTAAGAGTTAATTTAAGAGAGAGTTAATAAAAAAAGCCTTCTGGAATCATTATGAGCAAGACAGTCCAGTAAAATGTATATTACAGTAAGGGGAGTTGTGCAGTACAAACATTGAGTGGGGTCCCCAGAGCAAAAAGGCATGGGTTAATCAGGTCCAATACAGTAACTGTAATTCAATAACCTAAAAACTAAAAGTAATAATTTCCTTTACTTTCTTCAGTAGAAAAGTTATTTAATTACAATAGCTATATTACATAACCCAATATTTTCAAGTTCTACATCCCCTGATTAATTTCACCCAGAACTTGCAAACTGCTGAAGCCACTAAAAATGAGAAACTATTCACTTAAGTGCTCAGCTCCGTATGTGATGCACCAGGCGACTGCGTTTAAGATTACTGGTGACAGATGTCTGTGAATCTCACCTGCCGAGCACATTGAGAGTCGCAGGGGAGAGACCCTTTTACTCACAAACACTGTCACTGTCGAGGTAATTAGTCCCCTCGGCGCCAATGCTTTCACGGAAGCCACATTCGTTTTTTAAAAAGTCATCATTGTTGCCATTTCCAGTCTGTTGTTGCTGGTGCAAGAGATTTATGTTAACAGTGTGAAAAAAACTTAGTGCATCAAACACATGCTATTTTCGCCCGTTGATTCAGGAGTGTTTACTATGCTTTACCAAACAAACCAAGTCACAGGAACATAACTATCCTTGAAAAACTCCTTCAAAGAGTAAAATAATACTAGTAGACCCAGTCAAAACTTGCATCTCTGCAGCACAGCTTACAAAGCAACACTTCTAAAAAACATAATTTACCATACAAAACAATATCTTTCATTTTCATTATTTAAGTCAGTGTTTTTGTACTGTAGCTACTCAAGGGGATGATGCTTTGCACATGGTAGTCACCACTGGGCCACACTGGGGTAAAAAAAAAACTACAGAAGGCTGATATGACGAAGCCTGAAGATGTTATTGCACAAAAACTTTGGAACACTGTTGCATAAGTACAATGTACCAGATTCACACTACCATAAAGAGCTGCGCTATACTAAGATGACACATATTCAGCGAAAACAGTGGAGTTCAAAACCTACATGCAGGGCAAATGCTGTAACAGACATTATTTTAACTTTAGTGTAATGCAAGTGGTGATTGCTGTAGTGATTTATATGGCAAATCAGCCAGTGCTCCACTTTACATAAATCGATATCTGAATAAACTTTCTCTGCCCTTTTGACAATATACATTGACTGAATCTTTTAAAAACGTGTGATTTGTAAGATTTATATTGTTTTAGAAAGGCTGCATGTACTTGCTTAAAAATAGAGAACTATTGGGAAAGTATTAATACAATCTAAAAGAACGGTTTTGTCTTTTAAACTATATTACAATGTGATTTATTCCTGTGATGTTAAAACTAAATTCACAGCAGCCATTTTTCATTTATCAGTGCCAAATGAGTCTTCATAAATCATTTTAATCTGCTGTTTTTGGTACTGAAAACAATATTATCAATATTTAAAACACTTTTGCTTCTTTTTTGGGAATTGTTAAATGAGTAGAAAGTTTTAAAGAACATCTAACCAACAAAAATCTTTATAACATTATAAATGCTTCCTTTCTTCTACTTTTTAAAATTGGACAGACCACAAACTTTTCAACAGAAGATTATGTGATATATATACACAGACAGTCAAGCCCAAAATTGTTCATACCTCTGGCAAATTCCGACTTATAGTTACTTTTTTTTTCAGGTTTTAAAGTTGTTGTTGATGTTGTTTTTACCTAAAATGACACAGGCTTCTTCCAAAAGATAATAAGTTGATGTATAAAAAGCATCATTGTGGGGAAAAAAAAAAAATCAGCTTTTATTTATATTTGAACAAAACATTTAAGTCAGAATTTGCCATTGGTATGAATAATTTTGGCTTGACTGTATATATATATATATGTATATATATATATATGTATATATACATATATATATATACATATACATATATATATATGTATATATATATGTATATGTATATATATATATATGTATATGTATATATATATGTATATATATATGTATATATATATATATGTATATGTATATGTATATATATATATGTATATATATATGTATATGTATATATATATATATATATATATATATATATATATATATATATTCACAAAAACTTGCATATTTTAATGAAAGATCTGTGAATACTCGTGGTTAAAATTATATATTTATAGATAGATAGATAGATAGATAGATAGATAGATAGATAGATAGATAGATAGATAGATAGATAGATAGATAGATAGATAGATAGATAGATATTTTGTCTATCTAAAAAGGTATCTAAAATTAGACAAAATTTTTATTACAAGCACTCACAGATCTTTCATTAAAATATGTAAGTTTGTTTTTGTCTATGGTCATTTTCTACAGCTTTTCCTTACGCAGCACACAGTTGGATGTGAGGAGCATAAGGCAGCAAATCCCTGTCCTTTCAAATCAAGGATTTAAGAATTACCAGCTTGCAAGACACACCCTTGCTTTCCCAAAGAAGGTCACACAGGGTAGACCCATGTCTGCTTGAAGAAACGCAAGAAAACCACTGTGCATCGAGACTGAAAGGGTCGTCCATATTTTTCAGAGGTGTCCATTTCTCACACCACTTCCACTCCATCAGAACTGTCTGGTGCAAGTCTGATTATTTTCATCAGATTTACAGAGCCTATTATAGAAACACTAGCCAATGTTATGTAATCGTGATGGCAGGCACAAACTGTGTGAGGAGATTTCACCTGGCTAATGCACCTGATCCCAAGAATCAGGTGTCTGTCAGCCCCATAGTATCCTGAAGCTGATGTGAACATTAACCAAACTTTCAGCTGCAGCAAAGAACAGCATCCCACAAGTAGTTACTGATGCTAACATGCTCAAATAAATGCATACCTAGAGGGAATTTGAACTCAAAGCGTCTATAATCCAATAAGCAGCACAGGACTGCTATAAGACGACAGCCTTCAATATGACACGATATTCATACGCAGGCAAGTTAACTCAATTATCCAGGTATGCACATTAACAAATAGTCACATAATGCATACAATATAAAAATATGTCATGAATGCGGTTTATGAAATAACAATCTGGATTAGAGAAATTACAGTTTTATCTACTCACACAATTTCACATTTAAATTCAGTAGAAACCTGCTTTTGTATACAATGCCTGCAGACTTAAGCATACTGATACTTTTATAAACTGTTCTAAGACTAGATTAGGAGTTTTAAAGTGTTAATATTTACAAAATTAGCTGTTAACTGACAGACTGACATAACCAGGGCAATTGTAGCCTGGTAGTATTTTTGATATAATAAAAATAGATTGATTGAACTGATATCAGGCTAGTACTGAGCATCATCACAACTAAGAAGCACAACATAATTCATTAACGTACTAACGTTAGTTTATCTCTCGTTTTTTCACGCTAACTGTAACCAACATCCCAAAAAGCATCATTAATAGTAGAGTCCTCGTTTCATAGCCGTCAAAATAATACAGATTTACACACCAAAAAGATAGCTTGCTATAATGTAAAGTTGTACGAGTTTTAGGTTTGTAGCTAGCAGGCTAATCTGTCCCATCATCACTTAAGGATACAGTTTAAACCCCTTCAGAATCTCCTTCGCTCTGTCTTCGTCCGAAGACATCTTTTTCCTTGATGTTCAGCTTCAGCAGATGGAAAAAGACGAATTAAAGCGTTCCACCGAGGAATAACTATAAAAAAATCGCACAAAATAGCTTCTAATTATAAAAAATCCAGCTCGAAAACGGTTTTAGTTACAGTAAGATCCAGCTTTAATCTGAACGGATACACTTGATCCGCTCACAACCTACTGTAAATAGATTTTTTGGGAGATTGACAACTGCTCTGACTAATCGTTTTGGGAGTTTTCGAAGGCCTGGATTAATTTCGCCAATCACAGTGGAGATTGAAGAATCGGGGCGGGGTTTGGTTGCGTAGGGACGCGTCACCGATGGCAACCCCTCAAACGTCCTTCGAACGCAGCCGAACGGAAGCGCGTGTGAGACAAAAAGTTGCTGTACATTTATTCCCAAGGCAAAATAGAGAGCTTGAAAAAGCTTACAGGCGGATCAAATCAGAAGAATGACCCTCGTTTATTGCGTATAGCCTATAAACGAGATGTGTAGGACAGGATAACATATCTTCGAAAATATAATATGAGCTTTTTAATGGATTAATCATCTTTCTATGCACCCCTCCTTGAACTTCATGTATTCGAAAATAACAATGAAATAATTTAATTAATAAAGTTTTCCAAGAGCTGATATAACGTTACACATAGCAGGAACATTAGTTTCTCTTCACACTCCTTACACTCCACATCAACTGTTTAATAATAATAATAATAATAATAATAATAATAATAATAATAATAATAATACTTATTTTTGTTATTTATTATTATTATTATTATTGCGAAAAAGTTGCATTGACGTACAGTCACTGTCCTTACTTTTTTATTTGATTACCTTTTCTTTTTTATTTATTTTTCCAGCATTTCCTATGAATGTAGTGGCCTTTACATGTGTATGAATTAATGCCAATAAAAAATACTTTTATTTTTAAGAGTCCAGTTAGTCTGTAACAGCAGTTTACTATAATATGAAAGCTCTATGCTTGCAAATTATATGTCTAAAAGAAGCCCTGTGGCCAAGAAAAAACCAGCAGCGAAAATACTAATGCCTATCTCTGTGCAATTTATGAACAGTTCTCAAAATTCCCTCTCTGAAAGTGAAGAGCGTGGGCATGTAAAAACCACAGATTCTGTTACGTAAAGTGATCTATTCGGTACTGCTCTGTTCTGCACTACACTTCAATTTATATTAGGAAAGCTTTTTATTATCATTTTATTTCAATTTACGTTTTATTTATTTATTTATTTATTTATTTATTTATTTATTTATTTATTTATTTATTTATTTATTTATTTATTTATTTATTTATTTATTTATTTATATCAGGCACAGTAGACATGTAACAGCAAAATATGACCAGAGGATGGCGCTATAATACAAGTAAAGAAAACAACCTCTTCTTTTAGAAGGCCATTATAAATTTATTTTATTTATTCATTCCCCTTTTTTTATAACACATGATTGGACCTCACACATTAGATTAGTTTGCAATAAAAACATTTAAACCAAAAAAGTTTAAAGATCAACAGAAATTAGAACTATTTTCCATGGACATGTCATCATTCACCAACAGTACCTCGAAGTACCAGCAGTGTGGCATCAATCTAGTCCAAATTACAATGGAAATATATGATCCATCATCAAACACAATTCTGCTACTTCAGAGATATCAAAGCCAACAGTCAAAGGATGAGAAACATAGCAGAAAGGCCTTATATTAACAGTAAATCTTACGTCTCTGCAGTGGTCTGCAAAATCCCATTCAATCTATTACATAAATTGCTGCCACTGCTCCTCCTGACACCCTGAAATATACTTCTGCATGGATTTCATTTTTCCCCCCTTTACAAACACTACACTATTTGACATCGCAGCTTTCAGTCAGATTGCTCAGCCATAAATAGCACTGTACATTTAATTTAGCGAAGCTGGCATCAATACACTAACAGTCTAAAGTTTAAGCAGAGCATCTTAATGGTTTTAAAAAAAATAACATTATGCCAGGAAAATATATAAAATAGATTGAACTTTGCATTGAAACACATGCTCTGTTATTCTGTCACACATTGTTTTGGTCAATGTCAGTAAATGCAGTGATGGAGAATAATGGCATATGAAGGATAGGAGCAAAGATCCTCTACACCACAAGCTCATCACTTCAAATTACTCATCCAGAGTGAAGACAAACTTGGACTGGAGCTGTTCAATTAATAATTACACCTTTCGCCCCATCTTTAATGCATGATTAGATCTCATATCAAAGGTGGTATGATGAGAAAGCACACTAAAGGGAGAGAGGCCTAATGACATATACACCCTATAGAACCTCTTTATCTTCACTATATTCTTAGTTTTGAGTTGAGCAACTGAACGTGGACTGGAGGAGAACATGCACATTTTCATCCTCACTTCAAGCATTTATAAAAAACATGTGCATGTTTACAACATAACTGATGTGCTTTTCAGGCAATACTCTCATAAGAATTACGTTCAATCAACTTCATCATTTGCTGTTTTACTTGATTGTGAAAGTTGCATGTTATTCAAGTTCTTTGAACCTTGCTTTGAACTGAGCTTTGCCTACGTTGTTTTTCCTGACAGCTCAGAGCAGTGAAGCCATTACATAAAAGACAGCAGTGAATCCAGCCTCGCACATGTAATGCTGTTTTATGATGTCAGAGCTGCAGCTGTTCAAATCATTTCTAAGAAAAAAACATACAAGTGGACAAAAGACAAAAATCGCATTACCAGTTCCCAGGAAACTGCAATATTTGGCACCTTGTACAATGTGATAATCTCTTCATGTCACATCAAAATGTAAGTGTTTTTTGGGGTGTTTTAAAAGTCACACAAGGTTAAAGTAGGTCTGTCTGTCTGTCTGTCTGTCTGTCTGTCTGTCTGTCTGTCTGTCTGTCTGTCTGTCTGTCTGTCTGTCTGTCTGTCTGTCTGTCTGTCTGTCTGTCTGTCTATCTATCTATCTATCTATCTATCTATCTATCTATCTATCTATCTATCTATCTATCTATCTATCTATCTATCTATCTATCTATCTATCTATCTACATACATACATACATACATACAAACATACTGTTTCAACCACCCAGGAAACATTTGTAATCACCCAACAAGAAATTTCCCACCCAGAAAACAGCCATTTTTTTTACAACACTCTAGCCTTTTAACTAGTGTCATAATGGCATGTTTGACCTTTTGTCTAAAGGTTATCATTAAAACAAACAAACCAAAAAAAACTTTTTTAGAGTAGTGTGGGGACCACTATTCACCAAGGAATTTGGACATAAAACTGTCATGACACCTTTATAATCATTACATGGCAAACAGGAAAATATACAAGAAATTGTCACCTTTCCTCTGTGATTTAAAGTATTGAAAGGTATGTGTGTACTCTCTGAGACAATATTTAGAAATTATTTTAAGCAAAACATAACTTGCCACCACAATATCAAAATAAAAATCACTGATCACACTTTATTAGGGTTATGTGCTCTTAGCATTTATGCTAGCAAATTGAGTTTTTACATCCGAAATCAGAAAAAGTCGGGACAGTATGGAAAACACAAATAAAAAAAGAAAGTAGTGATTTCCAAATTTATTTCGTCTTGAATTTTATTGCAGACAATATGAACACAAAATATTTCATAATTTGTCTAGTCAACTTCATTTCGTTTCAAGAGTTCACACTTAGCTGATGGCTGATTATAAAGCTTCTTTGGCATGCTGTCCCGGGAGAGAGCCCTGAGCTCATAAGATCCTCGAGCTCGGGGCTTCCTCCCGTTTGCAATGCGAGAGGGGAGTTTGAGCTCAGGTAGAACTCGAGAACTCCCCTGCTGTAGTAGCTAATAAACAGATGGTGATTGCTCTTAGGAGATAATTACTTACTAGGAGCATGTCTATGGTGCTAATTTGGATTAGTAATTTTACTTAAGTTCCTTGTTTTTGGATGGTGGGAGGAAACCGGGGAACCCGGGGGAAACCTACGTGAGCACGGGGAGAACATGTAAACTTTGCACAGAATTGTCGGCTGGCTTGATAAGGACTAGAACCAGTGACTTTCTTGCTGTGAGACGACATTGCTAACCACTGGGCCACCGTGCCACCCATCTAGGGGTGGAAGGGGGGATTCTTCAAAATGAATATGGCTGTTTAATGGAACTTTGGGAATTTATAGTGGCTTAGGAATCGTCTGATGGGTGAATCATAAATTAAAAAATGCTGGACTGGATGCAAGCAATCCTAAGCATGTAATCCTCTTGACATTAGTTTATAAATAAACTTCACTTGTAAATATACATCCTTTCCTGTCCTTTAGACCTGCAATACAAAGTGCAGACTGTCAAGCAAAAGCCCTGAAGGTGATTTATTGTCAGCAGGGGTCTCCAAACTCAGTCCTGGAGGGCCAATGTCCCGCTGAGTTTAGTTCCAACTTGCTTCAATATACTTGCCAGGAAGTTTCTACTATATTTAGTAAGAGCTGGATTAGCTGGTTCTGGTGTGTTTGATTAGGGTTGGAGCTAAACTCTCCAGGACACTAGCCCTCTAGGACTGAGTTTAAGCACCCTTGATTTACAGCATCCAGAAGGTAAGTGCAATGTAAAGGTAAGTAGGACTCAGGGAGGTTTATGGATGGTGAGATGGGGCGTTTTCCGGGGTGTGCTCGGTGCAGTCTGGTGAAGGTGAAGATGCCGTTCTAGCTGCTTGAATCTTGAGTGAGGGGGAGAGAGCTATTATTGTCTGCGTAGGTCTGGAGTTGTAGCTCACTGAGTCTTTGTTGGCTTTCACTTTTATCCTCTCCCTCTGATTGCTTGCAGGTGCTGGTGGTTGGAACCACCTGGTGACTTAGCATTTGTGTGCTTAGTTGATGCTATCCACTGCAGGGGTGCGTGGTCTGTCACCAGGGTGAAGGATCGTCCTAGGAGAGAGTACCTCAGCTCCAGGACTGCCAACTTTATAGCCAGAGCCTCCTTCTCGACGACCCCGTATCTTAACTTTGCAGGGGACAAATTTTGACTCAGGTAAAAGACAGGGTGCTCCTCTCCCTCAAGGACTTGTGAAAGCACCGCACCCAGTCCGGAGTTAGAAGTGTCGGTCTGGAGGATGAAGGGACAGGGTCTGGAGTTCTTTTTTCTCCAGAAGGGACAGCTGTTTTCCCACTTGGTTGATG